ATCCTGAGACAGGTATGATGTTGGCTACAGTCAAGTACTTTGTTGCATCCAAAGTTATTAGCTTCTAAAGAAACTGTTGGACTGCGTCGGCGAACAGTTAAACACTTAATAATGTATCAACTTTAAGTTGATCAAGGTAAATAATTAACCGTCTAACAATTACAATTTCTTCAAATGTGATTGGTGCATAAACCGCTGTATTTTGCTCTAATTAATCCGCAAAGTTGTAATCGGACAGTTGGTTACAATCGGACACCTGTGGTTGAACAGTTACATGATCCAATCATTTTAAGTCCTGTGCACTAAATCCACCAATCACAACATTGATTACAATCACTATGGTAACCAATTCAAGAGTCTGACTGTAAAATTGTGGGGGTTTAGTCTCCGGTGACTGTTTTAAAAGAAATTTAACAGCCATTTTGCAAGCTCTTCTCCATATTTTAATTATGACTATTAAAAGCTCTTTTTCAAATGAAACTTTTACTTTTGTGGGAAATTGTAATGGTCACGATTAATTGGTAACAGGACATCGTGTCGTCCAACTCGGTCTGTAATCATACTCCTGATCGGCAAATCGGACGGTCGTACAATTTTGTTAATCACTCGTATGATTACAGACCGAATTGGACTCCACTCGGTCCTATTACCATTATTTAGCAAGTTAGTGAAGCGGACGTTTCGAGGGTTGGACCTTCATCAGAGAAAAGGACGTGTGACTCTGGCCCTATCAAAACGCACGCAGAAAGTATATTAAACCAATGAAATCTCCCGAGAAATCCCCAAACAAATATATGAAGCTGATTGGAAGCGCGGGAAAACGTGTGCGAGCGAGGCATGCTTGGTTTTACTTTTAATTCTGGTTGGAAAACAAAGTGCTGCAAGTCTTTTAAGCCAATCTTCTAGCGTGGTAATGCAAAACCCAAGCAAATGCGCCTCAATTGAAAAACACTCTTCTAATACCTAACTGTTCGCTGATAATTCAATATTTTTCAAAATGAAATTTGAGAAAGTAACACCTCTCCCATGTTTTTTTCCTGACAGGTGAGGCACCTGATGATCCACGAACTGGCTTTCTTCCTCCAAACAACGGTACAACAGGGCAAGGATATGTGACCTTCTCTGTTGACCTCAAGAAGAACTTGCCATCTTTATCAAGGATTGATGCCAAGGCCAGCATCTATTTTGACAAGAACGAACCGATCGATACTCCTCCGATCTTTAACACGGTAAGGAGTTAAATAGACGTAGAAGCAGTGATCATGTGCAAGCAATTAATAATATTAAGAGAATATCATCTTTCCTATCAATTACTGGTCACGACATTAGGTTGTCCCTAGTTGTACCATGGCTTCAAAAGAAACATCACACGTCTGACACCATGCGACATAAGCGCTCATTCAAGATGGCGGAGACTTTCAACAAGCGCATCCCATTTCTTTGTTGCAATCAATAGCTTAGATAGTCACTGGGGAGGTAAAAAGCCTTCCTATCACTGAAACGAAAACGGAAGTCTTGAGTTCAGCTCTTCGGTTGCGCCAAATACAGTGAAACCTGTATTAAGCCGACCCCTGATTATGCGGACACCCTGTATTAAGCGGACACTAAGCCGGGTTCCTAAATTAAAGTCTTATATTTCCCTTTAAACGGACCCCTATTCAGCGGACACCTCTATTAAGCGGACGCAGACACTAAAATAATTTGTATTTGGCTAATTTCTATTGTTAAAAACCTCTATTAAGCGGACACTGGACTGAATTGACAATGTAGTGTAGTCTAGTGTATGTCCTTGACTGTTGAATAGTCGATTAAATGTAATCAATCCATGTGGTTGTCAATAAACTGTCGATTAGACCGATATCAAACTTCACCTAAAAGACTTGCACAAAGTTCAAGGTAATGAACTTGAACTCTAGATAGCTTCGTTAACAACATGAAACTTTATCATAGTACAAAATAACCGTTGAATGATAATCGTTAACAAACATTTCACAATTTTTACAAACTTCTATTAAGCGGACACTTGGGAAGGTCCCGAGGGTGTCCGCTGAATAGAGGTTTCACTGTATCTCAACTGCTCGCTAGTTGGAAGAACTAACTCTCTATATATCTGAATATAGATTTTTTAGTGCGTAGTATCATTATTGCTGTATACTTTTATGAGTCTTGCAGAATTTTGGTAAAATACAAATGTGTGGCGATACTAGATACTAAAATGTCCAAACATTATAATCAAATATTTTATTTGTTGAAAAACAAACTTTGGACATTGCCTTGTGTTATGCGCGCTCAGGAAAACGAAGGGGACTGCAACTACCCTGTTAAACTGGTTTCCTTGAGCATAAATACCGCTGAATATTCGTTACTCACTGGATGCCCGTTTTGCGTGTTGTTTGTACTCTATGGAGTGCCCCTGCACATTGACAGAAAATATAGGTTAGTTTTCTTTATTATAGTGTGTCACTTTTGTTTTCCATGATGCTTATATCCAGATTGACAGTTCGATCCCCTCCTCCAATATCTCTGTCATTAATGACGTCATGAAGGTTGGAAAATTGGCCGTGGATATCGATACAAAAGATGAGGGGTCTGGGGTCCAGTCAGTGGACTTGTTGTATCAAATCTCAGAGGGTAATGGTGAGTCGGTTGTTGCTAATTTGTGCTATTTTATGCATTACTCATCTTACGTTCTCGTATCACCGAGGGAAAATTTCCAATTTTCAAATTATCAGACAAATAACTGATTCATTCATACATTAACATACCCAGGGCAAAGTCTCTTGTTCTGGGGTATAAAGAGATGCTAGTATTTTGGTAGGTTTCCATAACAGTCTACCGGAAGGCCTGAGTGGAGAGACGTACTGTGAAAATAAAGTGTCTTGACCAAGAACACAACACAATGAATTCGGTAAAGCATGGACCCAGATCGCTCGATCATTCTGGACCTCGTTCCCATGACCTTTTTCCCTCACTTGAGAAAAGGCCATGGGAAGGAGGTTGCCCCAGAGCGCTAACAGTAAAAACCCAAGGTATGTTGGCTAAAAGCGTCGTGAGTATCTTGTTGTCGTATGTATTGTCAAATAAGTTTTAGTTTCTCAAACCTAAATTACTATGAAGTATTTTTCCCGTACGGACGCTTTCGAGAGAACAGAAAGCGTCCGTACATAAAGAAAGTTACTCTCAAAAGTTTGGATTTCAAGCACATTGAGATCAACAACCAACTGTTCGTAACAACGAGACGTCAGCAAAGCAGAGTTCTTCCGTGAGGATAGTTGTTTGGGCAGATTCCGAAAAAATTGGGCTAGACATGCTTAATTGCCGTATATCGGAATTCTTTTTTCTTCTTATTTTTTCTTCTGAAAAACGCAATTAAAAAGAAGGCATCAATTTCAGCCTATTAATGTAGTGATGTCAACATAAACATTCTCCTTACATAGCGTTACATCAATCCGTGAAGCACCAATAGTGCTCGAAATTTTCCTTTTTTTCAGATCCGCTTCAAGAACAATCCCTACTTCCCCTGCTGTCCGGTATAACAGACGACACAACCTTCCTACCCCTCCCCTCAGGGAAGACGTACTCGCTTTTGGCTTTGGCCGTTGACCACGTGGGTAACAGACAGCCAATTGACTTGAACCGAGTCATCACAGTGGACTTTACACCCCCTAAACGTACGTCTTGGTGGTAACAGTGTTATAGAAAGGAATTTAGCAGCAGCCTAAAAACTAGTTTAGCTTTTTCAGAGCCTCGTGGCTGACGCGTGAAGCAACTAAGTGCAGTTTTACCTCTCCCCCAGCATAGAATATGGAGTACTCTCTATCCATTATTCCTTGCATTACAAACTTATCAAACATCTTGCTCAGTCTTCTCTCTTTTTGAAGAGAACGTATTGGGACTAATTCCCATATTGCTTGCAATCAGTTTTTCTCTGGAAAATTAGTAATTATGGAGCGCGCGGGTTTAAGACGAGAAAGGACTGGGACGACTTTGGGAGTGTTGTGGCGGACGCAAAAGGTCGACTGAAAGTACTGTATAGTTCCCAGGGCCTTGCTCGCTCGCATGATTTACTTGGTCATTCATTAATTCGTATATCTCTAAGTTTTGGAACAAATGGTGTTACGTTGTTATGTCGAGTTTATGTATTCAATTGATGTAGTGCTTCATCCTGACGTTGCAGCTTCCTGTGAACGACTGAATAATTGCTCTGGTCACGGAAACTGCTCCGTCCTCAAGCTCTGTGTCTGTGAAGACGGATTTTATGGAGTTAACTGTTCACTCGGTAAATATTGACCTAGTTTCATAAACTTGTTAACGTGAGTCAATTAAGGTTAAGTCTGCATCTGGGCCAAGTGGCCCATCAGGCCGGAGTTTATCCCGGTTTCCGTAGCATGAGGCGACTAGGAGTATTTCTACTCCCCCCCGGGATGGGATGCTAGTCCATCACAGGGTTACCCCCAGCATTAAATTCGCCGGTGTCCATTTATACACCTGGGTGGAGACAGGCAGTGTGAGAGTAAAGTGTCTTACGCAAGAACACAACACAATGTCCCCGGCCAGGGCTCGAACCCGGACCGCTTGATCCAGAGACGAGCGCACTAACTATGAGGCCACCGCGCCTCCACAAATTACGTTGCATTTCATTGTTCCATACTTTTTTTATTTTCAGATTTCCCTTTGCGGTTTGAGACTCCGATCATTTATTTAATGTACAGCGACACCAGCGAAGACATGCGCACTCAGTTATACCTTTCCGCGTTTATTTCGGATGTCGACGACAGCAGCTATACTGAAAATTTCACCTTGAAACTCTTCATCGATGACGTTCCCCATGGATTTACCTTCAATAAAGGAAACCAGAGTGGGAATCGCGTCACCTTGGAGCGTGAGGAGTTTGGTGATATTTGGATGACGCCTGAAAAAGACTTTTCAGGAGTCGTCAGATTTAATATCACTGCACAAGGCGCAACACCAAGGGAAATAAAAACGGCCAGCAACCAAATCGAAATAAAGATCGAAGCCATTGCTGACATTCCGTTTCTTAATGTCATTGTTCCATGTTATCACTGGAACAGCAGCGAAAAGATTATACCCGTAACTGTAGAAAGCCACCAGACTGACTTAGATTGTTCCGAGAATTTGACGATTATCTTCTCGGGTTTACCGAGTGGTTATCGATCATTTTACGAGAATGGCACGAAATTTGTGATCGGAAGTAATGACACAGCACCACCTAACTCGCCTGGCTGGTTTATCTCCTTTAACGGAACATTAAAACCATTCGTTCTGAATGTCATCGCCATAGCCGAGGAAAAATCTAATGGAAACGAAACAAACAAGACAGTTGCTGTTGATGTGGCATTCTGTGGTAAGGTTCATGAAATTAGTGTTCTTAATGCATGGCTAAAACATGTCTTAGGGTGCAGTATGCCAAAGATATGAATATCGTTTTAATCTGACAAAAAGTTTAACCAAAGAAAAAAACCCGCGTTAGATGTTTTCCCGCTCCTAATACTGACTACTCACGTTTTCCCGCGCTTTTTTCACTGGTGGCATACTATTCCACGCTTACCGCTTGCGACAGGTTTTCCCTCGCCTGCCAACGGTTCCAATGGTATTCGCGCACTTTCCACTGGCTACATTCTTCCCTGCGCTGCTCAGTGGTAACAGTTTTTCCCGCTCATACTACTGGCTGCCCCTTGTTTCCTCGTTTCCGCTCTAGATGTTTTCCCGCGCGTGTCACTGATTGCATGTTTTTCCGCCCGCGTTGGCACGAGCTAGAGCCACCGGCTAGAGGCACGGGCTTGGCGTTGGTTACATAATTTGCTTAAAGTGCAGATCGCTCTACTGGACCCTACTAGTGCAGACTACTTAACTCTTTAATAACTTTAGTTATAGTAAGACTACATTACAAAAAGCTCTATTAAGCTAAGCCCTAGCTCGCTCGCCGTACAGTACAATCATGTTCGAGCTATGTTATTCCTATTACGTTCTGCGATCGGTTCTTTTTTCCAATATGTTTAATGTTAAACTTTATCTCTCTTTGTAGTTACTTGTGAGGCGGTGAATAACTGCTCTGGACATGGAAATTGCAGCAAAGTAAATACTTGTGAATGTAAAAGTGGATTTAAAGGATCCCTGGATTGTTCATCGGGTTTGTTTTCTTCTCCCTTCGTTTAATTTACGCTTCTGAAACTCATAAATCACATGCATGTTTACTCTGCGTGTTTCCTTTTGAATAGTTTCCTGCGAAAAAGTGTTCAATTGTTCTGGACATGGAAACTGCTCTGGTCCAAATATTTGCTTTTGTGAAAGCGGATTCAAAAGTGATGGCTGCTCACAAGGTAAAACATTTTTCTGTGCCCAATGCAAATGTGTTTTTGATTATGTTAAAGCCTAGTTTTAACTAGCGCATAAGCATAAGCATATAAGCCGACATACGCAGACGTAGTAACATGTAACTATGTTTATCGCAAAGGAATCGTCAAAGGGGACAGCGAAATAGGACAAGGACTTCAGAACATACAACACACAACTCGAAAGTTGATGAAGGTTAATGAACTGATCCGAACACGCGTACATCCGGGCTTGCATGCACGGTCGAATACACTTCATGTAAGACAAATGAAATATCGTCACACCATGTGAGACAAATAAAACATCGTCATAATTCCATTGATATTTTATGTTCAATAGAACAGAAAAGAGTTTTGGAGTTCCTCAAAAAAAGTCACATTCGGATCGGGAGGGGAAATGTTTGTCTGTCGTCTACAAATGGTGCGCGCAGCGAACGCAGCGAAGTTATTTAATCATACTTAAAGAGATCCGTTCGTTTTAGTTTTGTTTTTGTGCGGGCAAGTGGTGGGGATTTGATGCCTAGGACGATCCCTCTCTCCCGCATCCCACCACCGGAATTTATATTGATATGTGCATTATATTTACAGCGTATTGCCAGAATGTTAATATTTCCTTGCAGTTTCTTGTGAACTAGTAAATCACTGTTCAGATCATGGTGCATGTAGCGGACCCAATGTATGTTCTTGCTATAGCGGATTTAAAGGAAGTAACTGCTCGGAAGGTATGTACCGCGGACTCAGTTAATTTCACCAAAGGCGAGGTCATTTTATTTATTTGTCAAAACGTTACTGAGGGAAACTAATGTAGAAATTTTAAAGGTAATTCAAAATTAGCTGATGCATTGACTGTTAACGTTTTTCCTCTCATCTGAAATAGTATCTTGTGAGGAGTTAAACAACTGTGCAAATCATGGAATGTGCACTGGTCCAAACAAATGCACTTGTGAAGAAGGCTTTAAAACTGCACCAGACTGCTCTAAAGGTACAATAATCGTTTCTAAGTTCCAACTTAAGAGATGTTATGCATATTGACGTTTTCCCTGTAATGCCATGTAGACAAATGTATTACTAATGTTCTGGCCCCAGTTTTTCGAGGCCAGGTAACACTATCCACCGGATAAATTGCTCTCCAGTTGATAAGTGTTAACAAAACAATTGCAAACTACGCTATCCGCTAGATAGTTATTTATATGGCGGATTACGTTACCTAGAAACAACAACAACATTTTATTAATATCAAAAAAGAAAACGGAGGAAAGAAGAATACAATAATTTGAAGCTTATAAAAATGGTATTAGCTGCCTATAACAACCGTAAGTCTTAGGGCCTGTTCACGTGGAAGTGGGGGACCTCGGGCAGGTGAGGTCCCCCGCCTTGGTGGGGTAACCAATCTATCCATACAATCTTTCTTTTTTTCTTGATCGCGTTCACATGTTAGGTGGGGTACCCCACCAAGGCGGGTAACCCGGTCAGCCGGTCCGGGTAACCCGCTTCGGTGGGGTGAGTTTTCTCCATGTGAAAGCTGTGGAGTGGGGTAACCCGCCTAACCGGGGTAATCAAATCACTGCGCCAAAGCCCACCAAAACACACGGCAGAACAACATGGCTGCCAACCGCTACGAGCGTGGCGAGTTATTTCGACGATTTCACCTCCAAAACCGGCAAAACGTCGATGAAATTTACAGTGCTGGGGGCAATATAATTTAAGCGTGGAATCAAACTGAAGTTTTGCCTGCAACAGCGGCATTGCAGCGAAAAGCAGCTTCATTGGAACAAACGAACGTACCTCAGAACAAATCTGCTAAGAGGTCAAAGCGAAAACCACCGAAAGTCAGGACATGGACTCCCGAACGTATCGAACTGTTACTAAACTATCTTTTAAAAGAATAAAAAGTTACATCTTTGTTTATGTTTGTGCTTAGCGACCACGGGATTGCATTTTGGACTTCACCCCGCCCGCGGCGTCCCCGGGGTTGCATGTGAAGACAAGTATTTCTTTACCACGAGTAAGTGAGGTACCTCACCTCCCCGGGATCCCCGTTTTGATGTGAACAGGCTCTAAGAAAACTTAGGCAGCTTTCTATAGGAAACAATAAAAATTACGGTCATGTGTATTAATTAATTAATTAATTAATTAATTATGAAGCAAAAGTAACTGACATAAACATATACAACAAAGTTAAAAGCTAATATTACAACAAGGCAAGGAAAAAAAATAACAATAATAGTAATGCTAGTAACAATGATATTTCCAACACCAAGAATAGAGAGACAAGCAATAGAGAAGCTATTTACAATATAATCTAGTATAAATGAAGAGAAGAAAATTTAAAAAGGTACATATTGTATGATTGTATGGTTTCCATTTTTAATGTTTTCTTGAAAGCTAATCTGTGGAGAGATTTAGTTTCTTCACTTAATGAGTTCCAAGAATTTGCACCTTGAAATTTAATACTGAATTTACCATAATTTGTCCTTATTGGAGGAAGAGTTTAGGAAGACCTTGAAACAAGTCTTGTATTGTACTTGTGCTGTTTATTGACGGCTGTAAAGTAGCGGATTTACAGGAAGAAATTGCTCGATTAACAGGAACTTCTCGATTAAAGTACCCCCGCTCCTGCCTCGGTGATGAAAGTAGACCGGACTCGAGTGAGCGGTGGAAATCGACCCTAAGCGTTATCCACTTTTCAATTTTTTTTTTATCCACTTTTTCGACGGTTTCTCTTCAATATTTTGTGTGGTTAGTGAAAATGACTACATTGAAACGCTTTCAATACTACAGAAAGTAGTTCTAGCTAAATAGTAATAGCTTTAAAATTTTAGCTTTTAGGTTCTTCAACCTCAGCTGACATCGCTTGCTTGCGTTTTCTTCATCTTTTCTTAATTTCGTCCTCATCGTTCTAAATGTAATAATAACGACTTTTCCTTTTATAGCTTTTGGCCCGTCCCTCTAGATTAGCGAGTGCTTCCTGCGGGCCAGCCCACTTCCTTAATTTGTAAAGTTCTCACTTCCCCGCAGGTGGACTATGAGAAGAGGGAAAGACGTTTCCCTCTTCGCTTCCGTTATTTTCTATCCCCAGCCTCAAAACTACCAGCCTACACGGCCAAGGCAGCACGAACGAGGCTTCTGCGGAGGAGAGAGTGTAAAGTTTGTAATTTTCATTTTCCGTTGCAGTTTCTTGTGAATTGCTGAATCACTGTTTATACCGCGGTAACTGTAGCGGTCCTAATGTCTGCTCCTGTCACAGTGGTTTTAAAGGATTAAACTGCTCACAAGGTATTTCATTTCTATTTTCTCAAATTCATTAATAATTAAACTAAAGATGATAAAATTGCAGTCAGAGGTGGACATCAGTAGTATACATTCGAAGTTGTGTTTGACACTGACTCTAGTAAAACGTTAAAACAACGTTTATAGCTTCTTATACAAAATATAAATTATTAACTTTAAACAAAGGAAATTATGACCGTGATGGTGGCTGGATATCTAATCTTAATTAGTAGAATTCTACTGGTATACTAATGCAAATGCTGCAATCTGATTGGCTGAACTACTCGTATACTATCAGCCATTAGAATGCAGTAGCTGTCGGTCGTCCACAAAATGCGCATGCGACGTTTTTATCGTTTTTCCGAAGTTTTGGAAGAAAGTTTAGATGTAAATGGGTAATTATATTCCTGAGAAGACAAAAAGAAGGACATAACGGATTCTTGACTTAAAAAACTTAAAAATTATTGAAAAACCGGTGTGTGCGCGTAAACAACTGCAAATTTATCAAGGACAATTCAATACGTGCGATTTTGTTAAAGCGTAATTAAAAGTTCAATAATGCGTCGAAAAATATTTGGAAACCATTATTTGCGTTACTTTAAGTTAGAATTCTACTAAAGCAATTAGATTATTCGCTCTCCATCTCTATGAGGGGATAGTTGATTCGGCCTTCGGCCTCATCAACTATCACCTCATAGAAATCTCGAGCTCAAATCTAATTGTTAATTAGCATAGATTTTTACGATTTCATTTCTCCGTTTTCTCCTCAATTTTTGTTTCGATTGAGAAAATATATATCAAACACTCAAGGAAGTGACTAAATGTAAGACTGAAGGTTCTTTAAAGTGTCACTTAGTAGCTGGTTTGCTAAACGTTTCGGGCTTATCCCTTCTTCAGCGAGCCTCGCCATGCAAAAACCTGTACGCGTACGCAAGCACGGAAAGCGCGCGCACGCAGTACAAAGTAAACAAAGGCGTGCTGCAACATTTAAAAGTCATTAGTTTAGCACGCGTATGAGTAATACGCGCTGGAAACACAGTCACAAGAAATTAAAGTCAATGTTCAAGGTAGTGCTTGACCACATTTCAAACACCTCGAAGTTCGTCAAAAATGCTCCGCTACGCGTCGTATTTAACTCTCTGCTCGGTGTTGGAAATGTGCTCAAGCATCGTCTTTCTTGTTTCATATATTGCATAATGTACTCTTCCCGGAAGTCCTGGGATTGTCGTTGCATCACAGATAATAGTTTATTTCAATGATAAGTTTTTTAAAGTCTGTTTATGGACTTCATGCCATTTTAAAGTTTGGCTGATTTAATGTTGCCACGGGTTACCACAGATCGTGTCAACGTTGTCAACGTTTATTTCGCCTGTTTTATTTTGTAGTATGAGGTTTCTGAAAAACAGTACGAGATCACACCCAAAAAAGTCGTAATAAAAATGTCAGGTGTCCTGCTTCGCAACAGGGCATTTCCGAATTTCCTTTTGTCTCTGTCTAAAAACTAGTGTTCGTGCTGCCTTTGTAATGACATCTGCAAACGGTTATACTTTCTAGCCTTCTCGGATAAGGACGATAAACCGTAGGCCCTGTCTCACAACTCTCCATAATTGATTCTGTGGGACGTAAAAGAACCCACACACTGTTCGAAAAGAGTAGCGGACGTAGTTCCCGGTGTGGTGGTCTATCTCTCATCTGATGGTTAAATGCTCGGAGATATTTGCTAACTAGGCTACTCTAAAATCCGAGGGAAAATAAAGTAATGTGTATATGTATGCGTGTATGCGAAACCATTCATATGAAAATGTGTTTCCCCTACAAGTTCATTTTCATGCAAATCAAACTCATTTTCATACGAAAGGTTTTGTACGGGGACTCGTTTTGAAAAAAAGGCACACGGTACATCTGTAATGGAGGTTGAGTTGTAGCTACGTTGCTTATTTTTCTATTTAATATTTCAATACGCTTTTTTCATGACACAGTAACCTGCGAGGCCGTAAAAAACTGTTCAAATCACGGAATCTGCGCTGGACCAAACTTATGTACTTGTGAAAGAGGTTTCCATGGAGCAGATTGCTCGGAAGGTATATGGATGGAATATTTAACAAATAGAATACGGTGATGCATGACCCCTAAGAGAATACTGCATACTATAGATCTGGAAAAAAAACTGCTAGTGGACACACGAGCCGAACGCGAGTGCGTTCAGCAGTTCTTTTAGACCTCAAACGTGCACTATTTTCTTAGAAAACATAGGAGCAACATTCTCTTTTTGATAGACAAAATAGCATGAAGAAGTGAAAATGTTTACATCTCTAGAGGGGGCTATGATTGCGCTGGCCACATAACATCAGGGACATACGCGCTGTATAATTTTCAGCCGTGCATCTGTTTAATAATTTGATTATGATCATCATTAGCTCGAGATTTCTGGTATCAATCTAATAGTCGTTCAAAACTTTATCTAAATCCTCTTAACGGTAACTTTGAAACGGCCGCCATTTTGTTAAAAGCCGCACACTCTAATGAGCGGTGTTCTTAAAAGGAACGACGATCAATCCGTATATGGAAGTTCTGGGCCGGGTTGTTCGAAAGCCAGTTAGCGCTAACCCAGGATTAAACGTTAACCAAAGTATCCGTTTTCTTTGTACAAAAATGTTTTCCATTGATTATGTTTTGCGTAGTTTGAGGTTTTTCAAACTCAAACCTGAAGGAAAAACAATATAAACAGGAAACTGCACCCAAAAGTTGCAAACCTGAAATCAAAATTCTCGCTAATCCTGGGTTAGCTTAACCGGGCTTTGAACAACCCGGCCCTGATGGCAATGAAAATCAAATTGAACGGAAATTTCCAGGAAAAAGTCCTCGAAAATTTTGGGGCGCTTTCTATTCGACCAAAAATTCTGGTGTGAATTTCCAGAAATTTGCAGTCAACCGGAAAATTCTGTTCCATTCGCCCCAGGAAATTTCCAGAAATTCACACCAGAATTTTTGGTGGAATGGAAAGCGCCCGTGGATTATAGTCTTAAACTTCTCAATAAATTTTAATTGCTTTGTGTTTTTATTTCTTTCAGAATTGGAAGGTGAAGGTCACATAGGATTAAGGAAAGAAGCGGTTGCTGGGATCTCAACTGGAAGTTTCGTGCTGGGTTTACTTTTGAGTATGATTCTGTTTCATTGTTACCGGAAGAGAAAGGGCAGGCGCCGAAGTAAATTACGTAGTAAACAAGGTAACACATTTCCCCTCAGGCCCTTCGAAAACCGGGTTCACTCAGCGCCTCCGCTGAAAGGCTAGGAACCAATCAGTTCCGATGCGAAGATGATGGAGATGATGATGGTGATGACGACGACGACGACGATGGTAGCAACGACAGTATAGATGATGACCAAGAAGTCGACGACCATACGTTACGATTTTGTTCATACAACAATAATATATACTGGTAGTAATAAAAGACTATGACTGCGTTCGTTTTCTACGCCTGTGATATAACTTAAATAGCTGTCTGTTGCTGAAATCGATATCTTTGTGAACAGCTGAAGTTTTACAGACAGATGTAACATAATGACAAAGTCCACTATTTTTCTGTACCTTACAGTCAAACCTCTATTAAGCAGCCACTCTGGGGGACGACACAAACTGGCCACTTAATAGAGGTATATAGCAAAACAAAATCACCCTTGGGAGGGCAAGAAGCTAGCCGCGGCCGCTTAATAGAGGTGGCCGTTGAAAAGA